CACAGAACCAAAATCCAAAGTTCTTGAAGTACAATTCAACTTGCACACCTAGAATGTAATCAACCATGAAAACAAAAAATAATTATTGGTTATTTTCTCTTACCTAATGAAGAATGAAGTTCGGGTTTTTAGGGGCTATTTATTAGAAAAGTTAGAAATTTCCTAACCGACGCCATATTGAAATTAAATAAACTAAACAATTGATAGTTATGCGACGTTATCTTTCAACAAATAATCTTTCTCACCAACTAATAAGCACTGGTAGGTCGCAGAGATCCTTTCGAACACAAAATGGCACAACTAGGTGTAGCGAAAAACCACAAATTGACAAATCCTCCACACAGCACGACGCCATTACGAAATAAAATTCCGCCCAACAACACAAGCGAAGCGCACAGGACGACCCGTTCGACTGATTCTGCCCGTCTGCGCTGGCTGCGGCGCCGACCCTACGTGGTGGCGTGCCCTCCTGTCCTGACCGGTACAAGTACAAATGCCTGAGCACGCGCCTGCGCCATACACTTCGGCTTCACGAATATTCACGATGTTTGAAAGTTGAAAAGAGAGAAGACTTTTATCAATACATATTTTATTTTATTCCAAGTTGTAAGTCGAATGAAAAATTAAATTTTGCTGTTGTTACAATACAAAATTAATATTAAGTACCTTATCTATATACATTACAGGTATATTATGGAATTTGAAATTAGTTTGTGTGTGTGATAGAGACATTTTCAGAAATCACACAAAATTGGCAAATTTAATACTGGGTCCTGCCGGTCTGAGGTCCTACCTAGTTTTGTAAAATAATGTTAGCCATTTTTCAGCTGTAATAAGTATCTAATTTTGAGAACGAAAAATCTTTTTGTCGATAGATATTTTCGAAAGGATGTTTCTAAAACATTTCAGGACAATCATCCTAGAGATGTTACATTACAAACATCGCAGCGATGTACCATTTATGTCGGAAACATAAGGACCTTAATGGTACATAAATAGGATGTTTCTGGGAGATCGGTGTTATTAGGGAGATGCATACACCAAATGGCCAGAAATTTTTATAGTAAAAAATATGACAACAGAAACCACTATAGAAAAATTATGTGAAGTGTTCTCAAGATTAGGACTACCAAAAACAATTGTTTCTGATAATGCTAGAATGTTTGTTTCAGACAAAATTCAAAATTTCTTTAAAATCAATGGTATAAAATCAATCACTTCACCACCTAGAAATCCATCTTCTAATGGACAAGCAGAAAATTCAGTTCAAACATTAAAAAGGAAGTTGAAGACAATGTTATATGATTCTAAAAATGTTGGGGTTAGTTTAACAATTTTGTTGCAACAATTGCTTTTTACTTACAGAACATCAGAACATTGTTCAACAAAACAAACACCAGCAAAATTAATGTTTAACAGAGATTTAAGAAACCACTTGTCATTATTGAAGGAGAACAAAAATTTGAAGAGGGAGGAAAGTAAGGAGAAGGATGAATCACAGGGAAAAGCTATAAGGGAAAGTCAGAAAATTAAAACAAACGCAGAAAAATCACAGGAACAACAAATCAAACAACATCGAGGAAAAAAAGTTATATACAGTGTAAATCAAAAAGTTATGGTCAGAGATTACCGAAATATGAATAAGATAAGTTGGACAAAAGCTAAAATTGTAAAAATTCTTGGAAAATCTGTCTTTGTATGTCAAACAAAGGAAGGCCATTTTTGGAAAAGGCATGCAAACCAAATAATTCCACGTTCAGAACAATCGGAACAAAGCGAGCCCAGTTTGGTTAAAACTTCAGTCAAAAATTCTAGTAAAGATTATTTACAGGAAATTAAATACCTACCTTTGAAAAACTCTACTCAGCCCAGTCATGTAGAAACCGGTGTTGGTCAAAGTTCATCAGAAAACAATAATGCAAATTTTCAAAAGGTTAATGATTCACTGGATAATTCATCACTTGAACCACAGCCCAGCACTAGTTTCGACATGCAAGCAAATCCGAGATCAGAACTCAACAATAGGCAAAAAGGTTTGGATCAGAATATGTCTAATACTGATCAAGACTTTATTGTTATTCATTATAAAAAGCCAAGTAAAAAGAAAAATGTAACTTCGGGGGTAAATGTTAAAGTTAGTCCCAATGCAGTTAACTCAGACACATTACCAAATCAAAATAGTTATAAGAACCGTCCAAAAAGAAACTCAAAGAAGCCATCCAGATATGAAAATTGAAATGCTTAGGTTATTGATCTGTTGTAATATATTATAGTATAAGTATTTGTTGTTTAGGCTAAGTATTTTGTTATATCATTAGCTTAAGGATAAGCTTTATCAAAGAAGGGAGGTGTTATATTTAGGAATATATTGTTAATTTGATTTTAATAAATAAAGTCGGCAACATTGTATTTGCCAGCCGGTAATTAGCAGCGCCCTTCTTTGCCGGCATGATGACGTCAGAGAGTGAGAACGTGGAGGGAGGCTCTCTCTTACACAAATAGCGCACTGCTCTCTTTTGAATGACAGAAACAGAATCAAACAATTTATTAGAACAGTTACCCCAAAATGCAATGCCATACCTGATATGTGATTCAACCAACGAGAAATAAACCAACTTAGCAGTATTTAAACCAAGTTCATTTAACGCTATTCTTACAGCATAGCAACCACTTGCCAATCGTTTGTTTAGATTTGTAACGTGTTCATTAAACTTAAGTTGAGTATCAACATGAATACCAAGAAATTTACAGCTAGTTTTATTTTCAATTGTGTGTGTGTCTAATAATAAATCATCAAAAAAAATTTAAATGTCAATATGTTGGTTTTCTTAGAGTTAAAACAAAGCCAGTTAGAGTCACACCAGCTCTTTACAAGATTTAGGTCTTCAGAAATAATCTTTTTCAACTCTTCAATATTTTTTCCGTTCCATGACAGAGTAATGTCATCAGCGAATGATGTTATTTTAGCTCTAATGGGGAGGTGATTAATATCATTTAAATAAAGTAAAAACAATATTGGTCCCAACACAGATCCTTGTGGAACACCATTGGTCAACTTGAAATACTTATGCTCTATTTCTTTTTTAGCTGAAGGCACTTGTACGTTTTGCCTTTGTCGGGTATTGTAGCGGTTTGAAATATTCTCTAGTTCAATTTTTTTCTTATTATCAAGATTTGATATTTTAATAAAATATAATTTCCTCAAGTCTGAGATATCTGTCTCTTTATAGAGACTAATTATTATATTTATGTGCTCATCCCATCTCAAATGAGTATCAATAATGATTCCCAAATATTTTGCATGTTCAGTTCTACTAATATTTACATTTTTTGAAATAGAGAGTGAATCAAAGTGTGGCAAGGTGTTATTATATGACGTTAGCGGTAAATATTTAGTTTTTGATAAGTTCACTGTCAGTTTATTATGCTGAAACGATTTGCTAATATTTGGTAGGTCACTTTCTGCCTTATTCCTGACGCTATCCCAATCTTCGGCCAAATAGAAGGCTACCGCGTCATCTGCAAATTTTGCGAGTCTTCCCTGTAAATTAATGTTTAAGAGATCGTTTACATAAATGATGAACAATATAGGTCCCAAGCAGTGCTGGGCAAGCTACTTGGGAAAAGTAGCTAACTACAAGTTACAAGCTATTTTATATTGTAAGTATAGCTAAGTTACTCAGTAGCTCAACTACCTCTTTAAAAAAGTAGCTTAGCTATTGGTAACTTAACTACATATTGAATTAGTGAAAGCTACTATTTAAGCTACTTTTTTGAAAGTTGAATTAATAAAAACAAAAAAACGTGTATAATCGCCACCATCAATGTAAGCTTTGTTTCACGAGAGTTCATACTTTTTGCCTTCCTTTTTTAATAAATGGAAAATGAGTGAAACAAATCAATGACGTCAAAAGTTCGTCGGCTCTTGAACCAGAAGTCATTCATATTAATTTGTCAAAAAAAAATTGAATGTGTCATAGGAATTAATCTACAACAACCCTTTTTCCTCAAGTTATAACGCGTTCGATATCAAAAAGTATGAACCCTGGTGAAACGATCTTTACATACCTTACCAAATTTAATTTCATAAATCATCATACCGAGCATCATACGAAAATAACATTTAAACTTTCTCTAGGAACTAGGAAGAAGTATTCATATTTTTGTCAAAAACCACTGGATATTAATTTCTTAGATTCATTCTGATCACAGTAATCTGCGAATGCGAGAATAAAACAGGACACATAAAACATAGGTACCTACAGAAATGAGTAGAAACTAGTCTAAGCAAGGCAGGATAAGACTTTTCCGGAAAATGATAATGAGCTCATTCACTAAAATTTAAATACGTAATTTAAGTATAAAATCCCAAAGGATTGGGACTATTTTAGGCATATATACCAAAAAAAATGTGCTACAAGGTTGAATAAGTTTTTTACGGGCACTTAAAACTGGCGAAATTCAAAATGATTTAAAACGCGTCGATTGATGATGTCACATAAATATTTTTCATTTGGCTCATGTTGCAAGGAGCTGACCGGCTCGGCTGTGTTGCGCTCTGTGAAAGCACAGCAAGTACGTAAAGATTCGAATGCGCTGTTGTCGGTTGTGACTAAGTGTAGTGCAACGTAAAAAAAATAAATAAAACTAAACATAAAAAATTGTATTCAAATCAAATCAAATCAAAAAAGCTTTATTGTCCAAAAAATTATGTAAATTCCATTGACAAAGCCAAAAAAAAGGTCTAAAATTAATTTCCTATATCCTAAAAATGTATACTAAGTTAAAATTAAGATGTCAGTGTTGAGAGTAAAAATAAGACAAAAAACTAGAAAGACAAGCACATAACAGTGAAAATTCTATATACAATCAACAACACCTGAACAGTTTACAATACATAAATAAAAGAACATTATAATGGGCTAGATTAGATAGCGTTCAGATACCTCAGCAAATCCAACACAGAACCGACAAGTCAGCGCGGGATGGTAGCAAAATTTTCAAAAACAATCATCACTATAAATAAAGTCAAACACTACATGAAACAGTTTAGGCCTATTAAAAATAAATAATTTAGTAATTGAAAAATTGAAATATCACAGTTTAAGAATCACAGTTTAAAGATCACAGTAAAAGATTAAAAGATTAGTCTGAGTAGAATTCCCCAAGACTGTAATAGGCATTGGTTTCCAGAAATCTCTTTAAAGTTTTTCTAAATTGCCCATAGTCCTCCACACCCTTTATTTCGTCTGGCTTTTTGTTGAAGATCTTAATGCTCTCATATAGGTAGGTATAGAATTTTTCGTTAAGGCAAATTTCGGAATAGGTAATGGAAAATTTTGGTTGCGTAGGTTGTAACCAGTGTCTCTCACTGTATCAGTATTTTTATTTTTTTTAAATATTAGACAGGCTGTTTCCAAAAGGAATATACAGGGAACTGTCAAAATTCTTTCCCGTTTAAAAAGTGGTCTGCAGTTCTGTCCGTATCCTGCATGGCAAATATATTAACTGCTCTTTTTTGTAGTAGGTACAAACACCGATTGAATAGAGTTTTGAGTGGAAAACCCCCAGAATGCTATCCCATAGCGAAGATCCGATTCGATCAGTGCATGATATGTTGTTTTCGCGGTATGCTTACCCAGTTCATGTGCTATAGATTTAACTATATAACACCCCTGTGAAAGTTTTTTATTCAATAAATCTATGTGTTTTTTTTTTTTTTTTTTTTTTTTTTTACGGATATGCGCACTCGCAAGGAAATGTCCTATCACGCTCGAGAAGCGGCAAGTGCGCGGAAATGTCGGTGTATGTTGGTCTTGAAACGGTTCAGGTTGTAACCTGCAGGGAAAACCGTCGTAGGGAGTTTATTCCACAGCGATGCTGTTCTCCAGAGATATGAATTCTGATATAATGAGGTTCTTGGTGCCTCTAGTTTGACAGTAAATTCATGGTTACCGTCTGTTTGACGGGTTCGCCTGGTAGGTGCTACTCTCGGTGGAATCATACGTGCCAACTCTTCAGAGCATTTTCCGTGATAGTACCTGTAGAAGAGAGATAAATCGCCCACCGTTCTGCGATGTTCGAGACCATCCAAGTTACGAGTAAGTGCGGGGTCATTGATCAGCTTGATAGCTCGTTTTTGCACGGTATTCAAAAGCATTAAGGTATGTTTGGGTGCTGCACTCCATATATGTGAGCAGTACTCCATAGTTGGTCGAATCTGGGCTTTGTAGAGTGTCAGCAATTGGCTTGGTGTGTACAGATGTCTTGTACGAAATAGCACCCCCAGCTTTTGGGAGGCCCTTTTAGCAATATCTGCCACGTGACTGTGCCAAGACATGTTGGTCTCTGCAGTAACCCCCAAGATGTTCAACTGACTCTGTAATGTGACAGCACTTCCAGATAGCATGATGTTTGGCTCACCGGTGCTGGTCTTTTTTGAAAACAGAGCTGCTTGGGTTTTCTGCGCGTTGAACTGTACAAGGTTTTTGTTACCCCAGTCCTCTATTATCTCCAGGTCGTTATTTATCTGCGATATTTGAGTTAGTCTAAGATGATGGAATTCACGTGCGGAAAGACCTGTCGGTGGTATGAGTGAGGAGACTACATTGCCATCGTCTGCAAAGCAATAAAGTGGATTTACTGTTTTATCTATGAGGTCATTTATGTAAATCAGAAAAAGAGTTGGCGAAAGGATTGCTCCCTGTGGCACACCAGCATTTATTTGGTAAGAGTTGGAGTTCTGGCCATCCAGTGCAACATAAATGGATCTGTCCTTTAGGTAACTTTCAAACCAAGTGCAAAGTTTCGGCGATAATCCCATTGCTTTGAGCTTGTTGAGCAGATTTTCATGCCAAACTTTGTCGAATGCTTTAGATATATCTAAGGCAATTGTTCTTGTTTCACCCCGCAACTCAATCGCTTTTTGCCATAAGTGAGTGACGTATGTAAGTAAATCGCCAGTTGACCTATATTTTCGAAATCCGTATTGCTTATCGTTGATAATTTTGTACTTTTCCAAGTACTTGGTTAGGTGATTGTTCACAACTCTTTCCATTACTTTTGATATCACCGGAAGTAGAGCAATTGGTCTATAGTTTAACGGATCTGTCTTTTTTCCTTTCTTTGGAATGGGTTGTACTGCGGCAGACTTCCATGATGATGGATATACTCCTTGCCTGTAAGACAAATTGAATAATTTTGCGAAAGTTGGGGTGAGTTCGTTGGCGCAATTTTTGAGTACTATTGCGGGAATGCCATCCGGACCCATTGCTTTGTTTGTATCCAGCTTTTTTAGGGATTTTCGTATTTCTCTGTGATAAAAGGGTACCTCTGGCATACTATGGGAAACCCTTTCAATGAACGGTGGAGTTTTTCCGTTTGGCACTGTTAGGTTGGAGTTGGAGGAAAACATTTGGGCAAGCATATTGGCTTTTTCCTCTGATGTTGTGGCTAAGTGATTATTTTTATCTGTAAGTGGTGGTATGGATGACTTGGTGAAGTTAGATCCAACAGCTTTTGCAAGAGACCAAAAAGACCTAGAACTACTTGGACAATTCAGCAACCTGTTTTTTATTCTTTGATTGTATGTTTCTTTAGCGGAGTCAATAGTAATTTTGCAACTATTTCTGGCTTCTATAAATTCTGTGTGGTTTTGAGCGGTTTGCTGTCGTTTCCAAAGGTTATATGCTCTGTGTTTTTTCTGTACAGCCGTTTGACACTGGCGGTTGAACCAAGGTTTTGCATTAGCTCTACGTTTAGTTGTATGTGGGATATATGCGTCCATTCCAGATAAGATTACTTGTGTTATTTCATTACAGCAAATAGTGGGATCAACTGTTTTAAAGCAAACCTCTTGCCATGGAAAATCCAGGTAATACTGTTTTAGGTCATTCCATTTTGCCGATTTATAGTGCCACATTTTACGAGGAAGTGGTTGTAGGCTTGGTGGGATGAGCATTTCGCACTTTGTTATTATAAGTTTATGATGTCTTTGTTTTTGTGTTTGTCGAATCGCAGCTTCGAATCTATGTGCAATCCAAGAAATTTAGCTGTTTGTTTCTCTGCGATAACATTTTCATCCAGTGAAATATTTTCAATGCATAATTTCCGCAAGAACTGCGGCGTTTTTGTTAATTGTGTTTAAGCATAATTTCAAAAAAATTGTTATAAAATCTTGAATCCATAACTAATTAATTTAACTACTTTTCATGATATTTTGCCAACATTTCAGAATTAAATCTATTACAAATGTTCAATGTTGACAATTAGTGGCAACACAGTCAAATTGCGAGCTGCGACATCATAGAAATAAATTCTGGATTTTTATTTGGAGGTATTTCTTTTTTTTCTGTTTTCTCAAGAAGGACTTTGAATTTTTCAAAAGTTAAAATACAATGAGCTCTTTCACTAATTTTTGAAATTGGCATAATTGTTTAAAGCAACTAAAAACAGAATTTTCTGTATTTTTACTTTTGAAAAATTCATTGTCTTTCTTTAGAAAACAGAAAAAAAAGAAATACCTCCAAATAAAAACCCAGAATTTATTTCTATGACATCGCAGCTCGCAATTTGACCGTGTTGCCACTAATTATCAACATTGAAAATTTGTAATAGATTTAATTCTGAAATGTTGGCAAAATACCATGAAAAGTAGTTAAATTAATTAGTTATGGATTCAAGATGTTATAACATTTTTTTTGAAATTATGCTTAAACACAATTTAAATCAATTTTTTATGTTTAGTTTTATTTATTTTTTTTACGTCGCACTACATTTAGTCACAACCGACAACAGCGCATTCTAACCTTTACGTACTTACAGAGGGTACACAGCCGAGCCGGTCGATCAGCTCCATGCAGCAACATGAACCAAATGAGAAATATTTATGTGACGTCATCAATTGGCGCGTTTTAAATCATTTTGAATTTAGCCAGTTTTAAGTGCCTGTAAAAAACTTATTTAACTTCGTAGAAAATTTTTTTTTGGCATATATGCCTGAAATAGTCCCTCCTTTGGGATTTTATACTTGAATTACGTATTTAAATTTTACTGAAAGAGCCCATTAAAGTATAAAGTTACCTTTATCGGAAAATTCAACTTACCGTCCGCGTTTGCGGGCGATAAGTTGATCTTACCGTCTCTTTTAGAAGATAAATCAGCTAGAACTATCTATTATATTCACCCAAGAACTATACCTACACTATTATTACCAAAATCGTTGTAGATAATCATGGAAAACATAAAAGTTGTTGATTTTTGGAAGATTTACATATACAGAAGCTGCTAATTTTTTAGTGGAAACGTGCCTTTATATAAAGGGGAAGACTGTTTATTTTTGAAAACAATGTCGAATGGATGCCATCATATTATAGGTATAGTTATTCCATATTCCATTTTTGAACTACTAGAGTCCACTGTGCATAAAACGTAATAAGTATTTTGGGCGTTAAGTGTCGTTAAAATGCGGTAACCACACCCTCGGGCGGTAAATGACACTTTCCGCCATTAATACCTAAATAACTATTAACTATCTATCAAAAGTAGCTTATGTAGCTTGTTTTAGCTAGCTACTTTTCACAGTAGCTTATGAATACATGGAACACATTACCAAAAGCTACAGCTACAAGCTACTTTTTTTTTTCAAAGTAGCTCGAATAAGTTATTAGCTATCAAAAAAGTAGCTAAGTTAGTAGCTTAACTACTTGGTAGCTAGCTACTGCCTAGCTCTGGTCTCAAGACTGTCCCCTGGGGCACTCCCAGGTTCGCGGCATGTGGCTAATTTCAACTTTCTCTGTACTCAATGGGATCTTTCTTGCGTTTTTGAGGATCGGGTTCCAGATTTGGTTTGGTTTTAGTGTTTCTTCTTTCCTGTTGAAGTTCTCCGTATGTTTCTGGATTTCTATAGCTTCATGTACAAGACGATTGTGGTATCCGGAAGTTGGTGCAAGAAGCTTGACCTCACCAAAGAGTACCTATTTCATGATTCCCATCACTAAGCGCATGTTCTGCAACTGCCGATTTTTCCGATTGTCCTATTCTGCAGTTTCTTTTGTGTTCGTTCATCCTGGTTCCCATGGATCTTTTTGTCGTTCCTATGTATACCTTACCACATGTGCATGGTATACGATAGACTCCAGCGCTTGACAGTAGGTTCCTCTTATCCTTGGCTGATCTGATCGATTGCTGTATTTTCCTTGTTGGCTTGAAGATTGTTTTTATGTTGTATTTCTTCAAGACTTTCCCTATCCTGTTTGTTTTTGGTCGCATGGCCCTGTCGATTTCAGATGCATTTGATAGAAAGGTCGACTTGAGATGATGTACGGGATACGAGACCTATTTCATCAAATCATTTCACACCGTCTTGCATTGTTATCATCAGTTAGATAATATGGTGCTGAAACGCACTTGTGCAAGGAAATAGTTGGGGGTGGGGGATTTCGCTGAAAAAAATGTTTAAGAAGATGTCGTCATAAACGAGGGAAATATATAATTATACACCGTCTTGCATTCATTTATTCAGTTAATTTGTACACAAACAGAATTGGATCAACCTATGCAAGACATTTTCATGGGGGCGATGGTTTGTAATATTAGATAGAAAGTGTCCATTTTTGAGTGGGGTCAAATATCATTTTACACCACTCCACTGTGGATTTAGATTAAAGCTTGAATGCAAGATAGCCACTGGATACTAATGCAAGACGTCCTGTGGCGGGATTACGGGCCGCAAGACGGAAGTTAATGCGTTGTCTTAGGAGAGAATGAAAAATCATTTTACACCGTCTTGCACTAGCACCAATGGGAAAAACAGAATACATTGATAACATTTTTGAAAATACAAGACGTTCTAAATAAGAAAAAAGGACTGCAAGACGGAGATGAAGATGACTAACTTTGACGGGGGGCACAATCCACCTGGGCACCTGGTATAAAGGTGAATAATACTCCAAATAACAAATTACGCACATTAATTTCGGATTTTTTTGCTATTGTCCACGTGGATTAATTCTATTTTGCAAAATTGCATATCTCTACGAGCATCAAATGAAAAAAGATTGAAAACTGTTGATTTTTTTTGACGGCTTATGATCATTTAAGTTCTTTTTGGGGTAGATACAACACATAACTCATACCGGATTGTAAGCAATACATTTGAAAAAAAAAAACATTACATCACTTTTATTAAATTGTTTTAACAAAGATTTATAACAAAACAGGTGACACACTGCAGAAATGAAATAAGTCTTAAAAAACTTGATGCAAGAAACAGGAAATCTGTTCCATTATCACACGATACATATATTCAAATGAGGCAGAGAGCACACTGGCGAAATAATTTCTGCTTTGTTTTTCAGAAACTCCAGTGTCCTCCGTCTCATTTGAATGTATGTGTCGTGTGATAATGAAACAAATTTTCAGTTTCTTGCAACAAGTTCCATGAAACTTATTTCTCCAGTGTGTCACCTGCCCAACTAATCAGTTCCTCTTCCAAAATCAGTATCTTCAAAATCTATAGGAGTGTATTCGTACGTAGTTTCTTCTACGCCAAGGTCTTCATTGTCGCTGCCATCATCCTCACTCGTATCGAATTCGTATTTGACGTCCGTATTGGAAATTTCCTCATCATCGTCTTCATCACTATCTTCACGATCTGAAAGTTTATATGTATATGATTAAATAGAAGCTGTTTGCAACATGTATTTTTGTTGTCGTTGACGCTATATCATTTTCTGGAATTACCTATAACAATATCGCTGATAACTCCTGTAGGTAATGCTGGACCATCAAACCAATTAAATACTAATTTATTTCCCTCCAACTTCCAGCCGCTTTCAGTTGGACTACAGGGTAATATTTGTAACGGGTGTTTCAGATGTGCATGTCGCCACATATGACCTATGTATCTACTTCGTGACAAATGCTGACGAAGCTCTGCTTGACAGGGTGGAATGGTCGACGCGTCGAAATCCATCAAGCGTTTCATAATTCGCTCCGTCGAATTTTTTGTTTGGTACACTTTAGAAAACAGCCCTATACGTGCGTCATTTACATTTTTCATGTTTCTCAAACAATACATATGACAAACAAATTCTTCCAATGTTGCATATGTTTGTGGTATTATGAGTTCAGAAGAATCAACCAAAATGTTGAAAGAATTTTGGAAACGCGTTGAAGCCTCCAGCAATTTGTATGGCCGCTGCTTTTCTCTTCTACAAAATGCTGGATTCTGGTCGCATCCGGTCAGAGCATGAAATCCCGCCAACGAGCAACTTAGTGTTTCACCCAATTGCTGATACAGTTTTGTAACATTTAAATTCCTCACATTGTTACCAACCCCAAGCCGCATCCATATGGTTAAATTTGTTTTCAAAAACTTCATATTGGCCAGACGTTTTTATAGCTCCATTGCTAACGGCATATATCATGTCTTCAGAAAATGATTTAACGAGCCTTTCACATTTGGTACTTTTCTTCTTTTTTAAATCGAAACCACTTAACAATGTCGACCAAAAAAGTATTAATAGTTCGGGTATATCGCATTCACCCTGTATCAATTGTTGTGCATTGAGCTCTTCTGGTAAAGTATTAGTGTCAATATTTTTAATTTCATCCCTTAATGATAATGCGGCTTTCCTTATTATTGAATTAATTTTTAATCTTGAAATGAATGTATCAGCTAGTTCATTAATACCCCCATATGCAAGTACCGTTGATCCCTCCACTTCTAATATTTGAATTTTCTCACCAAAGGTTGCCAGCAATTTTTTTTTCAGGTAACTGGTACAAAATATTCCAACATCTAAGGAAACATTATCATATTGTTCCTTCAGAATTATTTGAAAATATTGGCATATATCGGAATACAATGCGCAACGTTTCTTGGACAAAATCTCCGCATTAATATATTCGCAAAGATTTTGATAAGCTTTCTTGTAGTGGTTGCGACGATCATGCCAGGCAGTATGTTTATCAGATAATTTTTTATTCATTTTGTTTAGATAACTTCGGTAGCAAACTTTATGATAGATAAAAGGTGAATTGGAAGCTACGTAGAAACTTAAATCCAATAAAACATCTATGTCGTTCACTTCAGTTGCAATAGTTTTCATTTTTTTCAGAAGCCTGTCGGATTTTGCAACAATTAATAATTGCAAACGGCCATTCCTCCTTTTATTGCACTTACGACAGAAGAAACATTTTTGATCAGGTTGTCCATGGAAATCTTTTAGGTCTTGAAGGTTACTGAAAAAAAAAAAGAAATACCAACCATGACTATAACTGAACACCTGATTTTGAATATACTATATTGAATTATACTGATACTTTTATTACCTGGTGTTCGCGCCCTCATCTGCTGATGTTCTCTGAATTTTTTGGTCTCGTTCGATATCGGCAGTGTGAACAGTAGCCGTGGAAGGTGAAATGGAACAGCAATAATCTAACGTCAAAGAAGGCTGTCCAGCACTGTTAGAAGGCTGTCCAGCACTGGTAGAAGGCTGTCCAGCACTAGTAGAAGGCTGTCCAGCACTGGTAGAAGGTATCAAAGAATGCAAAGGTGCACTCACATTAGGTGGAGGATGCTTTACTTTTGGTCTTGGTTTATATTTATTAAAATCTACAGCAGAAAATCGCCTGTAACATGAAGAATGATAGCCGGCTTCTCCATCATTCACAGCCTCTGGCATTTTAACGTTCTTGAATTTCAAATCGTTATATGTTCTGATTTTTAATATGTTTTTACATTTATCTAATAAAGATTCATTCTCGAAAAGCTTACATTTTTCATTTGATTCTTTCCGACAGAAAATGCATAAAGCCATCGTACGTAATCTGCTAGAAGAAAAATTATTATTTTTCAATAATACTAGCTATGACATACTTACGTTCTGTTATGTTCAACTATAGATCTCGGGAATAATGAGTATTTATTTTTTTTTTTTTATTTTTTCCAAGCAGCAAAAAATGACAGATCTGTCTGAAATTAAATTATAATTCCTGTATTCAGCAGACTCCCCTGTTGAACTGCTATGGCAACTGTCATTTTTCATCTATATGATTTAGAAAAGAATGAACAGTGAACGGGTTCAGTAAATAACTCAATAGTTCAGTGAAAAAAAAAAACGGATTTATGTAATTTTTTCCCCGAAAAAACGTCTTGTACTGATGTATCACTATTTCTTAACATATATTCTTTCGGCGAACATACGCATGAAGTGGTGTAAAATGATTTTTCATTCCCTCATGAGACAACGCATTGACCTCCGTCTTGCATCCCGTCATCCCGCCGCAGGAAGTCTTGCATAAGTATCCAGTGGCTATTCTACATTCAAGCTTCAATCTAAATCGACAATGGATTGGTTTAAAATGATATTTCACCCCTCTCAAAAATTGACACTTTATATCTAATATTGCAACCCAAAACCCCCATGAAAACGTCTTGCATAGGTTGATCCAATTCTGTTTGTGTACAAATTAACTGAATAAATGAATCCAAGACGGTGTATAATTATATATTTTCTTCGTTTTTGACGACATCTTCTTAAACATTTTTTTCAGTGGAATCCCCCACTCCCATCTATTTCCTTGCACAAGTGCGTTTCAGCTTCATGTTATCTAACTGATGATAACAATGCAAGACGGTGTAAAATGATTTGATGAAATAGGCGTCGTATCCCGTACTATATTATTACGTTTACGTAAATGATCGTATCCTTGGATGAAACATTTTCTAACCTCAAAAAGGGTTGTGTTGATTTTGTAGCTGTGTTTGTAGGTTTTCTTTTTATCTATAAGTACTGTGTTTATGTTGTTAAAGCTATTTTAGTGATAACTGACAGGAAGATCTCTCAAAAGTGTCGAATGATTGAGATACGTTTTCGGATACGGTTACGGACAACGCAACCCAACGAAACCATCGTATCTATTCTGCGCATGCGTAAATCGATGCGGATACGGATACGTTTGACATATTTGAAATAAAGATGTAAATACCCGATGGCGAAAAAAATAAAATTCTTTTGCTAAATTATTATTATTATTTTATTATTAATATTATTATTAAATATTGAATTATTATTTTTCTTTAGTCAAATGCGAAAATATTGAAAAGCGGGAGTTTTTGCTATGATGTTTTACGGCGGGAGGCATGACAAAAAAGCGGGAGTCTCCCGCCTAAATCGGGAGGGTTGGCAACCCTAGTTCTCGATCTTGGTTTTCACCAGGCAGGAAGCAATCCCAAGTGCAGGCTCTGGTCCAATAAAGGCAGTACGTTGCTAGATTCACGCGCCTGCTGGTCCGCCTCCTCGTCGCTTTTTTTGCCCGTGTGATCCAGGACTCAAACAAGAGTGACCTTGTTAAGCTCACTGAGTAGTTTAGGGTTGTCATACAGTCAAGCGTGTGCCTTGAGTTGACCTTGTTTGAGCAAAGGGCTCAGAGTGCTGCACATAGGCGGTTCTAGCCCATCTGTGCTGGGGCTGAAGCCCCTGCTCCGAGGTCGCTTGCCGCAGGTGGTGGAGGTGCCGTGTTCTTTCCCTTTCGCCAAATCTTTCTATTTGGTGTAATTATTTTGTATGCTTTTTCTTTTTTTTTTTTTTTCCTTTTTGGGTGTTTCAAACCTACACACCGAACCACGGTAGTTGGCACCCTCACTCCATCATTTATATTAGTCAGAAGCCCACCGAGTAAAAGTTCCGAGCATAAAATATTCGTAGAAGTTTAATCCAGTAATAAGCAAGAGAAAGTAAAGACCTTTTTCCCAGCGAGACTCAACAGTGATAGTCTCAAACGTATCGGTCGAAAAAATCGATGCAACTCCAGACCAGGAGTTAAAGAGCAAATCACAGAAGTCCGATATATTAATAAATCCGGAGTCAAGAAGAAACCGGAAAATGGCAAACACAACAATCCAGGACGCTTCGTCAGAAGCCAAAAGTCCCGCAACCCCTAAATTCATGGAGCCACCGACTTTCAACCCAAGTTTAGATTCCCCAATTAATTTTCTGAGCAAATATGAAAGAGCAGCAGCCCTGAGTGGCTGGTCCGACTCCTACAAAATATCTTTTTTTGGATGTTTCTTAGAAGACGCCGCAAATAGCTGGTTTTCAGCATATAAATCAAGCCAGACAAATTAAAACCGAACATGGGAAAATATAAAAACAGACTTCTCGAAGAAGTTTAGCAGAGAATAACCGCTAAGAAAATTGAAGTTTAGGTTGAATACGAGAAGACAACAGGAAAACGAGGATTTCAAGCACTTCAGCACTTCTACTTCGAATTATACTCCCTAGCTTATGAGATAGACCCTAAAATGCCCTTCGATACTTTTAGGGACCATTTCGAGAATGGTCTTCACTCATCGTTCTAGGAAACTTACTACCTCATGAGTTCAGGAACGATGGACCACGCCAAGTTGAGAACGTTGGTCCTGAAATTGAGCGAGGTGAAGGAACGCACCTTGCAAACAAATGACTGATGAAACTAGCCTACTAACATTGGACGAGCGAAAGGGCGGCAATTCAAGCGATTTTAAAGGCACGGCTGGGCACACAAAAAATTCCAGAAGAAATTATGAACATAACGACAGAAATTCTAAAAGTTTTGGGGAAAGTTATGGGTACAAAAAAGAGTACGAACCAAGAAGGACCTACAATAGGAATAGGGGATACCACAGAGACGGATCAAACATTGTACAAAAAACAGGGTGTTCCATGAAAAAAAAATAGTTCATCCATGGCGTAACTCTTTGGTTTTCTATTCAAATGATTTTTTGGTACCATTTATTAATTCTACAGAAAAAGTATTCCAATTGGTTATTTTGAATTTTTTCAGAAATAGAGGGAAGGTCAGAAATAAGCCGCTGTTCAGTCCTTGTTGGATGACCCTGTACACAAGTACATAACCATAGGCGGTTCTAGGTGAGGCTTAGGGGGGCTTAGTCAAATAGTTGAGCTCCCACAGGAGCTTCCACAGAGCAGCGCGTAAACTTTGGCTGCTCCTACTTATTACACACACCTACAGGCAACAGAGGCAACCCTGTCCCTAGCGGTGGGGCCTAAGGTTGCCTCTGTTTTCAGACGCCCCGAATTCGGATATTTATGAAATAATTGAATAAAATTTTATGAAATAATTAGATAAAGGTATTAAATCAGTGAAATTAATGAAATTATGTAGTTAATTAATCCTAACGCTTGAATAATTTTTATTCAGGGACTGCGAACTTTTGCCACTCATCACTAATTAAAATTTGGGGGGGCTTAGCCCCCCAAGCCCCCACCTAGAACCGCCTATGGTGCTGCATTACTGTCGCTGCATATATAAATATGCTTGCCCGAGTAACCTCTCTGGAGATTCTCCTGAGCATTACACACCTGTATGGCGCAGATCTCGCCTGAGCCGCTTTCCAGTATGGGAGTGTGACGCCCGGAGCTACTCGGGGCGTGGAGCCCCCGAGCTGTACGTACGCGTCAACCTATCAGCTGTCACATCCGTAGGTGGCTATTTATCTATTTATTTCTTGTTATATCTCAAGATTGAACATTTTAAAAAATATAGTTTTGATTCTCTTTCATTTTTGATAAATAAAAAAACAAACTGCACAAACAAACAGATAATTATTTTTAAAATTTGACATATTTGACACTAAGACAGGCGTCTCACGCCATGATACTGGAACAGTACAAATCTAGTGTGTGGCGCCCCTGAGGTGCTCTAGAGCGCGCCAATGTGCATACTGGAAAGCGGCTCTGGCAGTGGCGGCTCGTCGTATGAAGCAACTGAGGCCGGGCCTCACATGTAAAAATTACAATAATAAAGTAAAATTTTGAAATAATATTTATTAAATATTTAACGTTTTTCAACTATTTTCAATCATTAAAAGAATCAAAACATCGAATTTTCATTAAAATATAATACTATTTCTTGAATCTAGCGCGCGCTTCTACCTATTTATCCTTATAGGCGCTCAAATCGTTGCCGGACAGCATTAAAATAAAATAGCAATCCCAAAAATTTTGGCCTCATGTGCGTCACAGAACGCCGAAGCGATGCCACGCCACTCCCCACCACAACGCTTCAACTGTAGGTGAGACGATAGCGAATTTTTATAGGCATTGAGGCGCACAATTTTGGGCTTGTTAATAAGAAACCTTGCATCGCTTGCTGCTGCGACAAGTATTTAATTGGTTAATTGGCTCATATTTTTTATTTTGGTCTGTTGCGGGTTAAAAAACTGTTTTTTGGAATTTATTTTGTTAATTTGAAACTCAATATTTGTATTAAAATAAGAATTAGGTACCTACTGCTGTTGTTTTGCAACTGTAAGAAATGAAAATTTTCATTAGAAATATACAAAAAAAAATATCCGAGATGTTCTTTTGAAGAAATTTTGGGTCAAAATTTGGGCGTAACACTTGAAAATTTTGTTTGGGTTTGTTTGGGTTAACTTGATGGGCCATGGGCCTCACCAGTTTGGATTGTCACGAGCCGCCACTGGGCTCTGGTATACAGTTGGGTATCGACCCAATGCAATAAAACTCAATCTTGCCACAGGTCTTTTCCCATATACATGTATGTGAGGTGGTATTATAACGTAAACAGATGTGCGTTCGGAAGTGGAAAAATACAGCGCCGAACTGTGAAATTCGAAAAAGAAAAAGGCACCTCATCTGCATCTGCCCAGTTCTAGGGGCAATAAAAGACGAAAGAAGAAAATTAAACACATTTTTAAAATGATTGGGGCATTAAAAAAAA